CTGGGTATCTGGCCGCGACCCGCACGGCCGCACGTACTACTACCACGCTGCGACAAACACGAGCCGGTGGGAGCCTCCGCCGGCATCGCTTGTGGCCCCGCCGGCGCTTGTGGCCCCGACGCCGCCAGCCCCGGCCCCGCCAGCGGTTGCCACACCCGCTGCCATGCCCTCCACCCCTGCCTCTACGCCCGCCCCTGCCTCTGTTGCGCCGGCGCGCTCCGCACCAGCCCAACCGGCGGCACGGCCAGTGGCGGCACAGCCAGCGGCGGCTCAGCCAGCGGCGGCTCAGCCAGCGGCGGCGCAGCCAGCGGCGCAGCCAGCGGCGCAGCCAGCGGCGCAGCCAGCGGCGCAGCCGGCGGCGCAGCCAGCGGCCCCTCCTCGGCCTGCACCGAGTGGCGGCGCGGCGCTGCCTCCGGGGTGGCAGTCTGGGGTTCGCTCCTAGTGTGTGCGGCCGATGCGCCGAGGCATAGACTGAGGTCCTTGGCCCCGCCACAGGTCGACCCGAAGAGCGGCGTCACCTACTACTGCAACCCGACGCTGAACGTGACGCAGTGGGAGTATCCGACTGCCTGAGGGCCTTTCTCGTGGCAACTGAATCGCGGTTTAGGACGGCTACGATGAGGCCATCGGATGAAGTCGTGCGAGGAGGAGAGAGGGGGAGAGGCTGGTGCGGGTCGAGCTGGGTCGGATCGGTGTCTATGCATGTAACGTGGCGGGAAAGTGGACGGCGTGCAGGTGGGGGAAGGGTCTGGGTGTGAGATATGGGAGATGATAATGGGCGCGACGTGGCGGTGCCCCGGTGTGGGTTTGGCCGAGACCGGGTGCGTGTACCTGTAAGCGTGGCTTAGTCTTACTTCTAGCGATGCACGTCTGCACGTTGCGCGACAGCGAGCGCTGCAAGGCCGCTGCCCGTGCCGGTGCGCGTGCGTGTGTGTGGTGGGGACCCCGCATGCCGCAAAATTCGCTCAATTCCCTTCGCTTTCCCCGCCCCTCGGGTGGAGCTCGGAGCGAGGGCCGGGGACAGAGAGGCGCGCGAGGGGCCGCCCGCTCTTTCCCTCGCGCATAAGCGGCCACTCTTCGGATCGCACAGCCACAGGTCGAGCGACCCGGGGGATGCCCCGCGCGCCTGAAAGTGAAACCCAGGCGCGCGCGAGAAGGACGAATCTGCGAGGCGCGGCCGGGCCGGCCGCCCATAAGCCATATGCGGCCCGATGGGGAGAGGAGTGGGGCGGACTACGGGGATCGGCTTCTCACACAGCCCTTCCTTCCTCGCAGCGAGCCCCTCTCGATGGTTTTCCAGGAAAATAGCTCCACCATCCACTTGAGTCGGTGGCAGCGCCTGATGAGGATGTGACGAAATTGCACGACGCGCTAAGTTAGAATCGGCTAACCTCGGAACGTGACAGCAGTATGGCTGTGAACGTTCCTGCACAACCATCTTACCTAGGGATGGCTGAGCTAGCTACAGTGCAGCCATAGCCTCCAGCCCGATGGCTGCGATACACAGAGGGCAGCCATCCTGACTAGGGATGGCTGGAAGCTCGCTGCTGCAGCCATACCGCCCGCCCCGGGGCGGGCCCTCATGGCTGACTTGTTGTTCCATCAGTAGAGGCTGGCGTTCTCTGTGGTCTCCAGGCGGAGGCTGTCGGTATTCCACGGGGACTGCGTGTCCTTGGTGTCTTTCTCGACACCTTTCGCGACTCGAACGAGCAAGTCGCGCACGTCAAGCTTCGGCTCCTCGATGTGCTTGAGAAGGTGCGACGTCCACACGCCGTTTCGGCCGGTGCCGTCGTCGGCCGTCTTATCGGGCGCGCACGCGAACCCGATGATGGACCCTTTCGGCGCTTTCATCTCCATGAGGCCCACATGAGCACCGCTCCGAGTGGCAGAGCGGCTCATCTCGCGGATATCACGGCAGCAATCGAGCAGCAGCACGCTAAGAAACGGCTTTTTCTGCTGCATGCCGTCAAGAACTGCGTCGACACGTTGAGCCATGTGCTCGAGGTTCCGATCCTCCTTTGGGACTGACGACGGAAGGAGCCAGTTACGGCCCGACCACTCGCAGCCATGGCCAGCGAAGAAGAAGAGAGCGGTGTCGCCTTGCTCAAGCGAGTCGTGGAAGCTGTGGACGCCGTCCTTGAGCTTGTCGATGGTGACCCTGTGGGTGAGCGAGGTAACCGTGAAGCCCATGCGTTTGAGCGCTGCTGCCATGTCGACCGCATCATTGACCGGGTTTTTCAACCTGTTCTTCCCGGGGTACGCGACGCCGACGACGAGCGCCTTCTTGGTCGGCGACGGCGCGGGAGCCGCCTTCTGCGCAGCAGGCTGCGGGGCCTTGGCCTTGCCCGCTTGCTTCGCCACCTTGGCGGGCTTCGGCGCTGCCTCCAGATTGTCGGCGGGGCGCTTCTTCGCCTTCGGCGGAGCAGACGACGACCCCGCGTGTGACGCGGCAGCGGGCGAGGGCGAGGTAGTTTTGGCGGCAGCTTGCACAGCAGGCTGCGGCGCCTCCTTGGCATTCGGTTTCGGCTTTTTGTCGCCGCCGAGAAGCTTCGCGCAGCCTTCGTGGCCCCGTTCGTTCGCCACGTCTAACGGCGTCTGACCCTTTGCCGTCAACACGTCTTTTTGGGCCCCGTAATTGAGCAGATGACGGACGCACGAAGCATTCCCTGTCCAGCACGCCATGTGGAGCGGCGTCCACCCCTCGTCTTCCGTCGTGGAGATCTCATCGTTTTTCGCCGCCATGTTGACAACTTTATCGGCCCCGCGTTCCAACAGTTGTTTGACCACGTCGGCAGCGTTTTGATTGTGCGAGTTCTGGCAACACCAAAAGAGAGCAGTCAGATTGTTCCCCGGCTCAATGTAGCTCGGGTCTGCCCCTTTGTCCAGCATCATACCGGCTACCTCGAATTCTTCCATCTGGCATGCCATGTTCAAGGGAGTCACCTTCTCAATTCCGCAGGGTGCTGTGTAGTCCACACGACCGTCATTGAGGAGAGCCTTGGCGGTCGGCGTCTTGCATCCCTGAACGGCGAGAAAGACTGGTCCTGCAAGGTTCTCATTCCTGGGATTGATCCTCTCGCCGCTCGGCCACTCCTTAAGAATGCGCTTGACTTGTGCCGCGTTCCCGCTCTGCGCTGCGTAGCACAAGCGTTCGTCCCGCGACATGCGCAATCGTCGGCGCGGCCTCGGCCCTTTAATTTTTTGTCAACGATTGGGGTAGGGGCCCCAACTCGTGAGAGGCTACTACTTTATCGCAGGTACTCACAGTAGTAATCCTGAAACCCTTCGTGTGGCTCCAAGTGCCTCCTCATCGCAAACCCTGTCAGCAGTCCCTCTCTCTCTCTCTCTCTCTCTCTCTCTCTCTCTCTCTCTCTCTCTCTCTCTCTCTCTCTCTCTCTCTCTCTCTCTCTCTCTCTCTCTCTCTCTCTCTCTCTCGTATAAGAGCCATAAATACCGGATTACGAGGTCGAATTCTTTCCCCCGACCCCTGTTCTAACAGTTCCAGGGGGCGCGGGCGGGGATCCGCGGTCATTACGGCCGCAGGCCACGTGTTTCGCAATACCGGGGTGTCCGCGCAATACCGGGGTTCTACCTCCAGGACCGAGCGAGCGCGCCATCGCGCGGGACCTCGCGGGCTGCGTTCCTTGCCGCGCGTAGTCAGCACTTGGCGACAAGCGAGCTTCGCGGTAAAAGCGCCGACCCCGCACGACCTGTGGCCGCCTGTCGCGCTGAATCCGATGGTCAATCGCGTCAAGAAGAAGTCGAAACGCTTCGCTCCGAAGCACTTGAAGCCTAAGCTGGTGTGCGCAAACGGAAGGTGGAGCTGCACCTGGTCAGCAGTTTTTCACGGGCCCTCAGGTGAAGACGGAGCTCGCGGTACCGGGTTGTTCGCGAAGCTGCCAATGAAGAAGGGAACGCGCATCGATTACTTCGGCGTGAGGCTCACTCGAGAGATGTGGAAAAAGCGCAACGACCAAAGTTACTGCGTTGAGATCCATGGCTCTCCATACGAGCTCATTGACGCCCATCCATCCTCGAGCGTAAGCCGGAAATGCTGTGCGGCAACACATCTCGCTTGTGTGTCGCACCAGCTCTCATGTCGGCCTCAGTGCCGCACTGCTCACTCCGTGCACTCACCGGTCGGTACCATGTCAGGAGACGGAACACGGAGGAGCTGTATAGGTCACTAGAGACCCACACCATCGCTACATCACCACAACCACCAAGTCGGATACAAGTCGATGACAATGTGCGCGGCAGGACAAACCAAACATGAGACACGGTTACACAAGGACGGTCAGGCTACGGTCAGGAAGTAGGTTTGAGTTCACACTCTCCAACACACCTCGAGGACCTCGAGAACTGCCGACACCTCGGGCCCCAGGCCGCGCCAGAGATCTGCTGCGACCACACACCCCAGCAGCGACATGTCCCGCGCTCGCCACTCGTCCCGCGACATCGAGTTCGACCTTCCCGGAGCGCTCGACGACATGGCGGGCCTCGCCTCGAAGGCTGCGATCGGACATGGTACACGAGACGTCGAGGTTTTCGGCAATGGCCGTCAGGGACGTCCCGCCGAGCGCCAGTCCTGCGACGTGCAGCCGCCGCCTGCGGCCAGCAAGAAGGACACCGTGGTTATTATATCGACCAACAACCCAGGCAGGCTCATGCTGTTTGCCGCCCTCAACCCAAAGCTCGGCGAGGTTTGCATCACCGCCACCCACGTCTCACCACGGCACACCAAGCCCGGGCCTCGCCCATCTGCTCCACGCCGCCGGGCACCCCTCGTGGCAAGGTGATCGACTGGAAGACGCCCGCCGATTACGGCGGCTTTGGCGGCGACGAGTTTGCAAAGGCGACGGAGCAGCGCGACAGCTAGCCGGTTGCACGGCTCATGCTGATGCTCACCGCCCGCCGCAGGTCTCGCCACAAAAGCTGTGTCCCGTGGCCCTCACCGCCGGAGGGTCGCGCGGCGATTCACGAGCGGGGACCGCCGCCGCCACCATCTTCTCACACCGTCGCGCTCTGCGTGCAGGCTGCGCCTGTTCGAGTCGGACGTCATCCTGTCGTACGTCGCCGACAAGTACGCTCCGCTGCTCGAGAACGACTGCCGCGGCCCGACGGTCGAGGCTCGCGCGCTGAGCGCCCTCCTCGTCCGCGTGCACGATATGTACATCTCTGGCACAAACTGCTCCCAGCCGCAGTTCTTCTCGAACCAGGCACCACGCCGCAACTCTCCCACCCGCAGAGCGCCGCCGCCCCGCGCCTCCGCCGCACCCGTCTGCGCGCGAGGCAGTGCCGGGGTGAGGCAGCGCCTCTCTCCGCCGCAGGCCGTCTTCTACAAGGCTGCGATGCCGGGCCCGGAGCGGGCCGCTCGCCTCAAGGACCTCCTCAAGCAGCTCGATCTTGTCGAGTCGCTGCTGCGGCCCGCGGGGCCCTACTGTGTCGGCGACGCGATCTCCTTCGCCGACGTCGTCCTCTACCCGACCGTCGCCATGATGCAGGACCAGGCCGCCGCTTCGCTCGTGGGGTCCGTCACCGAGGGCCGTCCAAAGCTGGCGGCGTGGCTGGCGCACTGCAACGCCGACCCGCGCTTCCGTGGCGTCGCCGATAAGATCAAGGCCTTCGTCGACACCTTCCTGGGCAAGGCCGTCGCCGGCATCACCGCCAAAGGGTGCGGATAAGCCTATGTACAGGTCAAGCCGCGCCGCAAGTCGGGGCGCGACCCATTGCATGACAGGAGCGACGCAGGGACGTCGCACTCTGTCCCACTATTTATTTTGCTGTTGCTTTTGAGTGGGGAAGTTGCTAGTTGGCTAGTTCCACTGAATTCACACTCTGACACGCTAAAAATCTTGAAAACGTCCAACGGAGCTCCGTGTTGCTCTCCCAGCGCCCTCCCCCGCGCTCCCTGCGGCCATGGCCGATGATGCTCTAGTATGAGAGGTCTCGATGCGGATGCGCGCGTCCCGCGTCGTACTGACCGAGCGTGAGCCCCGCTCTGGCGCGGGCGCGACACCAGCGAGCTCGACGTGTACGAGAGCGGCCGCGTGGCCCTCTGGCACCACGCCGGCTGCTCCCAATCCGGCACCTGGCAGGCTGCCTGCTTCTTTGCGTGGCTCGTCCGAGCGGAAGGCTGCGCTGCACGCTCCACCGGCTCACGACACGGGCGCGGCCGCCGCCGGCGCCGCGGCCGCCGCCGGCGCCGCCTCCGCCGCCGGCGGGAGCACGCCGCGGAAGATCTTGCCCAGCTTGAGCAAGCCCTTGGCGCGCTCGCGGCGGACGTCTTTTGAGACGGACGTGTCGGCGCAGCATTTGGCGACGGCGGACGCGACCGTCGACTCGATGTCAATGGCCATCAAGTTGTAGAGCGAGTTCTGCATCTGCGCGGCGAACTGCGCCTGCTGCGCCGCCTTCTGCTCGTCGTCGAGCTTGTCGAACTCGGCGGCGTCCTTTGCCATCTGCTGCGACGCGCGCAGCGCCTTGGAGGCGGAGGCGAACTGGTGGCTCAACGCCGCGTGGCCAAACCAGTCGTGCCCCTTCACGCCGAGGGCGCGGTCCGCCGAGAGTTCGTACTCGATGCCTGCGGTGGAGTGCGCGCGCGCTGTGAGGGATGGCGACATGCGTGTGGGTACGGTGCGTGCGCGCGCTGTGAGGGTCGTGTAGGTACAGGAGTTGCGCTCGCGCACCGATGCTGGCGAGCATCTGCGGACCCATGTGCAGCTCGTGGAGCTCGGCGACCTCCACCAGCGCCTCGCACACAAACTTCTCCTTGTCCCCACTCACCCACTCATCCAGGCGCGTGGCCAGCAGCTTCGCGAGGCGGTTTTCCCGCGCGTCCTGCGCAGCCTTGAGCTTCTCGGCCGTGGCCTCCTTCGTGAGCCCTTCGTCCTGCAGTCGCTGCTGCGTGACCACCGCCAGATCGCCCACGAGGTGCCCAAACTTCCGCTCCCCAAACATCATCGCGAACACGACCACCGGGTCCGCCAGCGGCGCGTCGTTGAGCCCCGCCAGCCCGAGCTCGTCGTATCTGCGAGCGACGAGGAGACGGAATCATGAGACGGGGCATGGGTGCGAGTGGGGGGCGCTCCGCGTGTGCGCGCGGCGTACTTTTTGCGCTTCGGCACGTCCGACAGCACCTGGTACGCGTCGCCGATGGCGTGGAACTTCTCCTTGTCGCCTCCCTTGTCGGGGTGCTCCTTCATCGCCAGCTTGTAGTACGCCTTCTTGATCTTGGCGGCGCTGGCGTCGGGCTCGACGCCGAGGGCCTCGTACAGGCCGCGCTCCTTGGGCGTCGCCGTCGGCGTGTACTCAGGCGACTCCGCCTCGTCCTCCACGAGCTTGCGGCTCTTCCGGTACTCCTCCTGCGCCTCCACCTCGACGGCCGCCAGGTCGATGGTCGTCTTACCGTGCAGGTCGTCATCGGTGATGATGGCGGCGACTGTGCCGGGCGTCTTCGCCGCGCCCACCAGGAGCTGGTACGTGCCAACGCCCACGCCACCCGACACGGAGATGCCCAAAATCCCCACGCCCGCGACGAGGCCGCCAACGCCGCCCAGCACGGGGTTTTTGCTTTTGACGCCCGCTATGGGCGCCGCGACTAGCCCCGCCACGCCCACGCCCACGCCGGCGACTACGGCTCCTCCCGCGTTGCGCGCGCCCGATACGATGGACTGCGGCATGATGACTGCGGAGTGCGAGGCGCCGTCGCCCTCTCAAATCAATAAAAGAAAAGGCAGCCCAACTCCCCACCCCTCGTTTGGCGTGTCCGTTTTATTTATGGGTAAAAAGGAACAGGTCCCCGCCCGTGCGATCTTTGTCCCGGGTTCTTTGTGGGTGTGGTCGGCGACTAGCCGGGGTGGGGTCGTCCTCACGATGTCACGATGGGGGACTAGCACTACTCGAGTAGCCGTCTTCCACATGGTCCCTCGGGTCCCTCTGCTGCTCCTAATCTCTTCGTACATCCTCCTGCTGATCTCCGCAAAGTCCTGCTTCTTCCCTCGTCTCGCCCTGTGCGCGTCTGCCCCAACTCTCCCCCGTCATCTGCCCTGCGTCGTCTGGCGACTGGTCCTCCATAGTCGGTTGAGGTCGCCGCCCTCCTCGTGCCTCTTCCCAACGTTCCCTCCGGCGGCCGATGCCGTCTCCTCCGACTACCCCGTCCCCGGGTCTACCCTGCTCTCGTCTGCGCTAGTCTCTGCTTCGTCATGATCACTGGCGTCTCTCCTCTTCTTTCTCCCCTTCTTGTATGCTTTGCACATATCGCGTCGATTCTCTTTCACTTGAGCACCACCCTGAAGCCCGGCAGCAGCTGAACCGCTCAGCAAAATGGCTTCGGGTCGCCCTCGATGACGACGCAGCTGCGGTGCGTCTGGCCGTCGAGTGCATCCGCGAGGGCCGGCGCAGCACAGTAGCCCCACGGAGCTCCCTGACACGTCTCGTCCTCCACGAAGCACCAGTCGCCGTCCGGATCGTTGTCTGGATTTGCACAGGTAGCGGTGATATCTTGGCCACCACGTTGAAACACCATCGGCGCGCAACGGCATTGCTTCTCGGTGTCCTGCTCAGACTCGGCGTGCGGAGGCTGGCCCACGTTGGTGTAGAAGACGAGAAGGGCAAAGCCGAGCAGGGCTGGAGAAATCAGCGCAGGCCAGCGACAGCTGGGCCGCGGTGCCACCCCCGCGACCGTGCCCCCCATTGTTGTTTGTGCGGGGACGGACGTGTGTCCAATTTTCTTTTTTCATCTCTCTCTCTCTCTCTCTCTCTCTCTCTCTCTCTCTCTCTCTCTCTCTCTCGCGCGCGCGCGCGCATCTCGATGTTATCGGGGCTGTCGGCCTCCCTGCTCTCAGCTCTCACCTTGTTTGGTCCATGTCCAGCCATTCGTTTTCTTGCGGCCATTAATGATTAAATGCGCGCGCTCGCCAAAAAAGGCTCTTTTCGAATAACCTACCGATACGCGCCACCGGCGCCTGCCGCGATCAGTCCCCCGCCTCCTCTTGCTGCTGCCCTACGAACTGCCCTCCCCGCATGAGGGGACCCCTAGGCTTAAAAGGGTGTGGGCCCTGGGGCGCCTGCGGCTTAAACGGCTTAAAACTTGCCATGGCAAGTTTTAAGAGCTGCTGGGCCGCCGAATCCTTAAACGGTCTTAAACGCTTAAACGGTGCGGGAGAGCTCCCGAGGTCGATGGTCCGGGAGGCTCCCGGTAGACGCCGGAGGCCGGGAAGCTGGCTACAGTCAGCTATAGCACGCGTCCCCTATGCGAGTACCTCGAGGTATGGCTTCTGCCAGTGCACCAGACTTACAGAGATGTGTCTTCAGAGGCGGGTTTGTGCCTAATAACGGCAGTATTGGAGAAAACCCGGCGCGGAACCCCCAGCGACGCATGCCGGCACGGCCGATTTTCTCAAACGGTCTCTTAACTCTTAAAAGGTCTTAAAAAATCCGGCCCTCAGAACCCCAGGGGTCCCCTAAGCTCCCCGCCCCTGCCCTCCTCGCCCTCCTCTTCCTCCTCGCCCGGGTCTTGCCAACGGATCCCGAGTCCTTCCCCAGACATGGAGTAGGCCTCAAGGCGCGGGTACCCACCGTACGTCAAGCGAGGGATCTCGAAGGCGTGGCTTGCAGCGAGGGCTTGCAGTTTGCTACAGAGGCCTCTCTTTGTCACGATGCCGTTGTGTACGACATCCAGCTTGCCGAGGCGCAGCCCTAGTTTGTTTGTTGTCCTGCGAATGCAGCTGCCAGCGCCTCGAGAGTCTGCTTGCCGGCGCCGTTGTAATCGAGATTCAGTTCGAGCGGAGCATCGCTCGCGCTGGTTGCGCGAGAGAGACTGCCCACCAGCTCGGCGCACACGCGATCCGAGAGCGCGTTGTGCTGCACGTCCAGACGGACGAGTCCCGTCACGCGCCCGGATGTAAAGAGGCGGCAGAGCGCCTTCACGCGTCGGCGGTCGAGGCCAGAATTGGACAGGTAAAGCTCACGCAGGCCAAGCTGTGTGGGCCAGTGCTTGAAAGCATAGCAGAGCGCGACCACGCCATCGCACGCACGCACGTTACTCAGCGACACAGAGCGTAGGCTGGGCGCTGCTCCACGGCGAAGCGCCTCAGCAAGCACCACCAAGTCAGCCCACCCGAGGCCGCAGTCATCCAGGTGAAGGCTCGAGGCATTGGCGCTGGGAGTGGATGTTAGCACGCAAGCGAGGATGCGAACCAGTCGCGCATCAAGGCCACCGAGGCCGGGCACAACGGCCGTACCGGGCAGTACACGTCGGTGGGCGCCGAACGGTCGGTCGGCGCCCAAGGCCGCACACGCACGGAGCTCTTGCTCCGACTGCAAGTGCAGGGCAAGGCAGAGCACTCCGACGGCCTCGGTTTTGAGTGCTGCCACCAGGACAGCGATATCCCCCTTGAGGCGCCTGCACGATCCCGAGAACCGCACCACGTTTCGGATCAAGCTCATGTCGTCGGCTGGCATAATCTCGTACCATTTCTCTTGTGGCTGCTGGACAGGCGGCGCTGTGCCGGCTGGATGCCCCGTTCGCTGTGCCTCCCACTCGAGCTCGCGCTGAGCTCGCTCTTGCGCATATCGTAAACTTTGCTGCGCACGCCTAGTACGCTGACGATTGCGCGCGCGAATGTGCGTATCGCAAATTTCCAGAATCAAGTCGCGGTTCAGCGCGGCGAGCATCGTCGGTTGTGTGCGGTGCGCTGGGCGCCCGTCTATAGCTCAGACCGGACTCCGCTTGGTCCCTTCTGATGGCCTTCATGGGCAGCCCGCCCTGGTTGGCCTCAAAGGGGCCCGGGGAACCTGTTCGCCGTAGCCTCGAGCTGGATCCACCTCTGCACCGCTCCCGTCGCCGCCTCGGCCACGATTTGCAAGTTCCTCGTGACCCCGTGTCGCCCTCTCAGGTGCGCGGAAGCCACAAAATTGCGCTACTGGTTGGTTGGGTAGTAGGCTAAAAGTTCTGAGGGGTCTAAGTGTGACGCGTCACGCTGGAGAGGGTGCTTACGCGGTCTAAGATTGGCGGGAGCCTCTTACGCGGGCTAAGTCGGCCGTGATCATTAGCGTTGGCTCAAAATTTTCTTCTTGACTTCGCCTGCGGCGGTGCGCCGGCGGCGCCGGCAGCCGTTGTCGTCGATACAAGTGGCGTGCGTCGCAACTTGCGCACGGGGCTGAGTTAGAGAGGAGGGCGTGCGCGGCAAGTGGCGATGGCGCTTGTAGGTTTTTGACCCATGTGCCATGAGATCGTGCAAATTTTATCCAGGTTTACACTTTTAGCAGACCGCGGGCCGGGGGGCTGGACGCCTGGGCTGCAAGAGACCCGGAACTGGCCGCCTCTATAGCCTCCTCGTGTCGTCTCAGTTCGTGAGCTCCGATCACCAGTCTAACTTTGAGCCCGTCTCCTTCCCGGGGCTAAGTTCAGCGCTTGCCTGCGAGCACGCAGCCACGCCCGCCGTCGCGTACGCCCACACCGTGTTGGCCAGGTCCTGAGAATTGAAGCCAGCCAGCCTGCCGCGCACCGCCGCCTCCGCCACTGCTGTGTACAGCGCGTCTGCTGCCACGCCCGCCGTCGCGTACGCCCACACCGTGTTGGACAGCTCCTGAGGGTTGAAGCCAGCCAGCCCGCCGCGCACCGCCGCCTCCGCCACCGCCGCGTACAGCGCGTCTGCTGCCACGCCCGCCGTCGCATACGCCCACACCGTGTTGGCCAAGTTCTGAGGCTTGAAGCCAGCCAGCCCGCCGCGCACCGCCGCCTCCGCCACTGCCGCATACAGCGCGCCTGCTGCCACGCCAGCCGTCGCGTACGCCCACACCGTGTTGGCCAGGTTCTGAGGGTTGAAGCCAGCCAGCCCGCCGCGCACCGCCGCCTCCGCCACCGCCTCGTACAGCGAGCGCACCACCCTCACTTGCAGGTCGCACCTCGCCACTCCGTGAGCGATATTAGCCAGGTTGCGTGCTTCGCATGATGAGACGAGGTCGAGCGTGCGCTGCACCAGCCGCTCAAGCTGCTCCTCGTGCCGCCGCTCGATGCGCTGTTTGCCCAGCTTGTTCCACAGGTTCGCAGCGTGGATGTGGTTCAGGCTCGTGCTGTGGCGAGCAAAGAGCGAGAGCAGCTCGTCGGTGCCGCTGGCATGGGAGATCTTGCTGTTGAGCTGTTTAGCATTGAGCTGACCACTGGCAGCAGAGCTCTGCCCGACCCCCGCCAACGCCTGACCACCGGCAGCACAGCCGCTAGCAGAGGGGCGCTCATTGCGCATTCGTGCATCGCGGCTCTGCCGCTCGTCGCGTCTTCGTTCATTGAGGATCGGCGGTGCCATCCAGCGATCGCTGGGCTGAGGCTGGCAGTCGCGCCTGAAATCGTGGGACCGGTCATCGCGCCGATCGTACCAGTCACGCTCGCGCTCGCCTCTGCAGCAACTGTCGTCATAGCCGTGATGCAGCCATGGTTCGCCTCGCCAACGCTCATCGCGCCATGGCTCGTCGTGACCTCGCTGAGGGGGCCATCGTGGTTCATCGCGCCTTCGAAGCTCATCGCGCCATTGCGGTCGCCCCGCCATCGTTTGAGAGCTATTGCACCAGGTAGCCTTCGATGTTTATGAAACAAACGCAAGGCGGACAACAACATTCGCTGTCCCTTTTGTCAGTAGCAGGAGAACTAGGAGAGCGCAACCAGTAGGAGGCCCGCGCCTGCCCCCGTGCCGCCGGGTGCAACTTTGTCCTATACGAGAGGGGAATGAATCCCTGGGACCCTGTCGTGTGTGGGTGAACCCTGCCCAGCCCCCCCTCCGTGTCGCGATGCGCTCCCCGCTCCCGTTCCCCTGTGTCCCTGATCGTCCTTACAAGCGATCCTGCTCGTGCAGGTGGGGACCCTGTCCTTCTCCCACCCCTTGTTTGGTGTGTCCGTTTCATTTATTTATTTATTACGTGACACATCGCTCTCCCGACGAAAATTTCTACTTGGTCTGATGATGCAAACTTCAGGACCTATGGCTTCTTGGTCTTGGAGTACGTGGATTCTTTCCTGTCATTGATTTGCACAAAGAGTGGCTCCAAGCCAGCCCTCCTGCCAATGCCCGCCCGTGCCCCAACTGCGCGATCCCCCGAGTTGTTCAATGCGTCTGACTGCGGTGTTGGGCCCAGGCACACGAGCGCGTGTGCAGATTTCTTTTGTGCTGAAGGTGGAGTCAAATTCACCGGAGGCCGTGTCGACGATTTCGTCAAGCTTTCCAAGGCCGCCAACAAGTTGATTCACGGCCGCACGTGTGCGCAGCCAAGCGCCGATGTCTTTGCGCCAAACCGCACGGGTTGTGTTGCGTTTAAACCGCCTGTCTTAAATGCAGGAACGTTCTTGTGTTCAGCATAGCCCTGTGGAGTTACTGCGATGGGGAAGATGAAACCCGAAATGATAAGACGATAGCAAACGACCCTGGTGCCAAAGCAAGCGAACGACAATCGGTGCGAGTCTGGCATGGTACACGCAGGGAATGTAAGTCGATACGAGAGCACGGGGCGGTCGGCGCTGATATATTCGAAAAGCATGCATATCGACATCTGGCAGACAGATCGATCTGGACCCTCCTCCGCTCTGTCTGGCAGAGAGAGAAAAGCACCCCGCGGCCATATAGATTGTCACAACCCGCCTCCTCGCGTCTTCGGCGCTCGGCTGTCGGCACCCTCAGAAACTGGGGGGGCGCTTGCACCTGCTCTGTTTGCGATGTTGCTCGTCGGCTCAGCCACCGTGGCCCTCCGCCGCCCCGACGTGGGTCCAATCCGCAGCCCATCGCTGCGCTCGAGCGCGTTCTCGCTGCGCATGACCGCTCCTCCTGCCGAGGGACCGGCGGCGGCGGCCATTCGCCGCTATTTTGCCGCCTGGAACGAGCGTGACATGACGGCGGCCGTCGCTCAGTTCGCCGACGAGTGCGAGTACGACGACACGCAGTACGCAGACGCCTTCAGCGGCAAGGAGGCACTCGAGGCGCACCTCAACCGCGTCGCCGACGCGCTGCCGCCAACCTTTCAGTTCTGCATAGACGAGGTTGCCGACGCAGGCGCCACCTGCGGCGTGCAGTGGCACGTCGAGAACGACGGCCAGCCGCTGCCCTTCACTCGCGGCTGCTCCATGTACAAGACCGACACTGCCGGCCTACTCGTCTCCGGCTTCGACGTGCCGGAGCCAGCGCCGCTCAAGCCCGGCTCGGCGGGTCTCGCGCTGCTCAGCCTCGCCTCCAAGGTCATCAAGGAGCCGGTGCGGGGCGTGCCGCTCGTCGCGTGGGGCCTCTACTGCAGCATCGTCTTCTTCTCGAATGGCATCCTCCCCGGCCCGGACGCCACCCAGCTCGACGCCGCCACCTGGGTCGAGGTGCGCGACCTGTCGCTCAACTTTTGGCTCCTCTCGCCGCTGCTCGGCCTCCCCTTCGCGCCGACCGTGCACCCCGGCCTCGAGGCCATCTTCAACCTCCTGCTCGCCTGGGCGGCGGCCTTTGGCGGCTTCCTGGTCGACGGCCGCAAGGGCCGCCCCTCGGGCTCGATGCTCCCGACCGTGCTCTGGATGCAGCTGCTGACCAACGCGTTCTTCCTGCCGTACCTCGCCACCCGCTCGCCCGAGGGCGGCGAGGTCGTCTACGCGGACGAGTTCGACGAGCCGGCGGCGGCGGTGGGCGAGTCGCGGCTCCTCGGTCCGCTCCTCGCCTCGGTGGGCACCCTCGCCCTCGGCTGGGGCGTGGCGGGAAGGCCAGAGTTCGGAGACCTCCCCGCGCGGCTCGCCTCGCTCGGCGAGCTCCTCTCGCAGGACCGGCTCGGCTCGAGCTTCGTGGTCGATCTCGGCCTCTTCGCCTGCTTCCAGGGCTGGCTCGTGGACGACGACCTCCGCCGCCGCGGCGTCGAGCCAGAGCAGGCCGGCGCGCTGCGCACCGCCGCAAGGTGTGTGCCCTTCTACGGCCTCTGCGCCTACCTCGCCCTCCGCCCTGCGCTCCCCACGCGCCCGCCCGCGCCGCCGTCGCCAGCGGGAGGCGCGGCGGCGGCGGCGGCGCGCGCGAGCGTCCAGATGGCCGCCCGCCCGCCGCCACGCGGCTCGCCGAGGATGTCGCTCGCCGGCAGCGAGGCGGCGGCGGCGGCGGCGGAGGCGGCGGCGGCGGAGGTGGCGGAGGCGGCGGAGGAGGCGGAGGAGGCGGCGGCGGCGGAGGAGGCGGCGGAGGCGGCGGAGGAGTACGACGTGGTTGTGGTTGGGAGCGGGCTGGGCGGGCTGAGCGCGGGCGCGCTGAGCGCAAGGTACGGCCACAAGGTGCTGGTCTGCGAGGCGCACTGCATCGCGGGCGGCTGCGCGCACGCCTTCGAGCGCGGCGGGTACACCTTCGACAGCGGGCCGTCGCTGTGGAGCGGGTGCGCTGCGCCGTCGACCAACCCGCTGCGGCAGGTGCTCGACGCGGTCGGCGAGTCGCCGGAGTGGGTGCAGTACGGCGGCTGGAACATGTATACACCCGAGGCGCCGGCCGGCTTCTACGCCGCCGCGGGCGACATGGGCGAGTGGCGGCGGACGATGGCGCGGCTGGGCGACGGCGAGAGGACGGTCGGTCAGTGGGACCGGCTGCTCGAGTTCATCGAGCCGCTGCAGCGCGCCGTGCTCGCCGTGCCGCCGATCGCGCTGCGGGCGGACGTGGGCGCGGTGCTGACTGCGGGACCCTACATGGGCGCGATGGCTGACCCGCGCATCGGCTTGATTGGTTAACGAATGAACGAATTCGGTAATGAATTAGGCGCGATGGCTGACCCGCGCATCGGCTTGCGCGCGTACCTGCTCTCTGGCCCGTGGTCGGCGGTGCTCGAGGCTGCGGGCGTGACGGACCCGTGGCTGCGCAACTGGTTCGACTTCCTCGCCTTTGCCTTCTCGGGGCTGCCGTCGGACGGCACCGTCGCCGCGGCCATGGTCTACATGCTCGCCGAGCTGCACGCCGACGGCGCGAGGATGGACTACCCCCTCGGCGGATCGGGCGCGGTCGTGGAGGCGCTCGTGCGCGGCCTGCGCAAGCACGGGGGCGAGCTGCGGCTGCGCAGCGCCGTCGAGCAGATCCTCGTGGACGAGGCGGACGGCCGCTGCACGGGCGTGCGGCTCGTCGGCGGCCGCGTCGTGCACGCGCGGCGCGCAGTCATCTCGAACGCCCCCGTCTGGCAGACAGCGGCGCTCCTGCCTCCGGCAGCGCGCGCTGCGGTGCGCGCCACCGGCAGCGCCCCGCTCGACGCGAGCACGCCTCCGACGCCGTCCTTTGTGCACCTGCACCTCGGCATCCGCTCCGATGGGCTGAGCGAGCAGGCGCTGTCCTCAGTCCACCACATCGCGGCTCTTCCTAGACCTCTCCTGGGACCTTTCCTGGAACCTTCCTAGGCGCTGTCCTCAATCCACCACATCGTGGCTCTTCCTAGACCTCTCCTGGGACCTTTCCTGGAACCTTCCTAGGCGCTGTCCTCAATCCACCACATCGTGGCGCCCGGGCGGCAGAGCGGGCGGCGCAGGGCAAGGGGAGCGGCCCTCCTCACGAGTGCGCGCGCGTGCGGGAGTAGGTGCCAGAGTGGGAGAAGCTGACGCAGCCGCAGTCGGCCGCCTTCGTCTCGGTGCCGTCGCTGCTCGACCCCTCCCTCGCGCCCGAGGGCCGCGCCGTCATCCACGCCTACTTGCCCGCCACCGAGCCGTACGAGGTCTGGGAGGGCCTCACGCGCGGATCGGCGGAGTACGAGCGGCTCAAGGCACGAATTAGTCAACTAGTTAATTCACTAGGCGCATAATTAATTCACTAATTAGTACGGGCGGCTCAAGGCGGAGCGGGCGGCGCCGCTGTACGCCGCCATCGAGCGCTTCATCCCCGACGTGCGGGCGCGGGTCGATGTGGAGCTGGTCGGCTCGCCGCTCACGCACGAGCGCTTCCTGCGCCGCCACCGCGGCACCTACGGCCCCGAGCTCTCCGCAGCGGACTCCGCCTTCCCCGGCGCGCGCACGGCCGTGGACGGACTCCTGACGTGCGGCGACTCGTGCTGGCCGGGCATCGGCGTCCCGGCCGTCGCGGGGTCGGGCATCGCCGCCGCCCACGCCGTGACCGGCGCGGGCGCGCAGCGCGAGCTCCTGCGCGAGATGCGCGAGCGGGGCACGCTGATGCCGGCGTGAGCGCGCGGCGCGTCGGCACGAGGCGCATTATACGAGACACTTCTGACCACGTTCGCGATCCGTCTGAGATGTGTTAGCTGTGCAAACTACTGATTTTCTCATACTCAACGTACACAGTCACAGAGGATGAGGAGCCAGCTCGAGAGAGGTCCGCACACTGTGTCGCCAGCGCTCCACTTGACTCACCAGAGCGTTGTGCACACGTGCGAGAGTATGACCGGGCTTAAAGCGCAAGCAGCCCGGTCACGATAAACGGAACCATGAGCAGGGCGGCCTTGTGCGCCGGCGTGGTCTCCAGCTTGAGCTCGGCATACACCGGGCCGACGACAGCGCAGATGGCCATGTACGCGACCAGCGCGGGCACAGCTGCCGCAACGTCCATCTTGTAGTTGAGCAGATACACCGTGTACAGGATGCACAGCCCAATGTTGCGTGCGAAGAAGGAGTGGTACTTGTCGGGCGTGACGACAAAGTTCTGGGTGATGGTCATCTCTGGGGCGAGCAGGAAGCCGACGCCGTACAAGCCGAAGAAGGCCGAAGCCGCCTTGAGCCACACGCCTTGGTCGACCATGCCGCCGCCGCGCAGCTGGAGGGCGGTCGACATCGAGGACGGCTTGACGGCGGGCTGGGGCACAACGGGGCCGCCGGCCACCTTGAGGGCCGACGCCGTGGCGAGGAAGGTGACGAGCAGCAGCTTGGTCATGAGCAATCGCTCGGTGATTTGTCGGTTTGGTGGGCACACCCGCGCTGAGCGAGTACAAATCCGCATAGACTGGTTCCACATTGATTTAGCCCTCCGGCCACGTCATGGGGCCATTCGAAGTGCCGCGGCCGGCTAGCTCGTGACGGACCGAGTCCGAGGGTTGCAGCCGTGAGGCTCGGGCCCTGGGTGCAGTCTGAGGACCCACGCCTGTCGCTCGGGCGCGGAGGCGAGCCACGAGCGCATTCGGTACCCAGGTCACCCATCTTTCCACGCCCTCATTCGAGCGCCATCGCGGACACAACACTGCCTCACGCCCTTACTCTATTGCGGCTAGGCTACTCAAGCAAGACCTGGTGGCATCCCGTTTGGCCAGCTCAACAACAACTTCGCGCAGGTATCGCGCCAGGCCCTACCACCGCTCGCCGCCTCGCCGGCACGCTCGCGCTCCGCTCTCCGGAGAGACACACAGCCGCGCGAACTCACGCACGCAGACCAACGCCCGCGCCCGCCGCTCACGCGACCGCAACGCCGCGCCGCGACGTGCGCACCGCACGCAGCGACGCTTACCCGTCGGCCGTCTCGCTGGCTCACGCATTCACCTTGTGACGGTGCCCTGGCAAAATCGTCCCGATTTCGATGCGCGATTTAGCTAAGTCCCAGAGCCGTTTACGCATGAGCGGGCCCCCTCACCAGCCTAGGGCTCGCGCTTCTGGCCCGAGGTGTCGCCGCTGCCTCCCGCGCCCTCCGGCGCCTGCTGCTACTGCCGGTCGGCCGGTCGGGTCCGCGCGACGGCTCCATCCTCGAGACGTAGCGGTCGCTGAGCGCTTTCTCGACCGCTACGTCTTCCAGTGCACCCACCCACCGCGACCCTCGAACCTGCGCTGCGCGGCGCAGTTGCTGCCGAGGGAGACGCCCCCGCCCGCGCAGGGGCGGCATCACCAGACGCTACCGCATGGCCGAGCAGCGAGCAGTGTGTGCCGCAGTGCCCGTCCGGGCCCTCTTGCAGCTGCCTCTATTCGGCGTAAACCGCGGATATAAGGGTCTATACGGAGGTGGGTGGCCTCTTAGAGGTATGGGAGCCGCTGGCACCGCGCTGGGCGCCGCGGATGCACGTACGAACGAACATTATGAAATCGGGACGATTTTGACCCAAAAATCACAAGGTGGGCCATTGTGCCGCAAGCGTTTGGCTCTCCTTAGGCTCTCCTATTTCGAGGGCGGTGCCGATCGGTGTACGCGGCAGTGCCGTAGCAGGCGCGATGTGTCCAGCATTCAACTTGCCACGTTGGCACGCTGGGAGAGTATCGCTTCCTCGCAGAGAGGTGTCAGCACCCGCGGGACACAACGTCAGCGTGCTGGGGCGACATAGAATGGAGAAGGTAGTTGTACTTAAGTACGAACTGACAAAGAGCCGAGACTCGACTCCGCACGGCGTGCCTCTGCGTGTCTGCGTGCGTGTTTCACCCTGCGTGTATCAGTAAAAAGATTCTGCGTGATTATGGCTGGGCTAGCCGTTTCAGACAGCCTCCGAGGTCTTGAAGCGACGCACAGCGTGTGGCTTGCGGCGTGGTACGCCATGGTCGACGCCGACACCACGCCGTATTCCATGCAGCTCGCCGCCTCCTCGCCGCCCAGCATGCGCCCGTCGCCGAGCGCCATGGCGCATGGGAGCCAAACGCCTGCGGCACAGTGTGAGCAATGCGATATGCGTGAGCCGGCGTGCCACGGCCGACGGGTAAGCGTCGCTGCGTGCGGTGCGCACGTCGCGGCGCGGCGTTGCGGTCGCGTGAGCGGCGGCGGCGGAGTGGCTGTGCGCGCCGGTCGGAGTATTCGCGCGCATTGGATCTGTGGAGAGCGCGAGCGTGCCGGCAAGGCGGCGAGCGGTGGTAGGGCCTGGCGCGATACCTGCGCGAAGTTGTTGTTGAGCTGGCCAAACGGGATGCCACCAGGTCTTGCTTGAGCGAGGGCGCCTGGGTCTAAATTTAGTGCGTGTGAATGAACTTTAGTGATAGTTTAGTGCGCTATTTAGTGCGTGTTCGAGTGCGTATATAGTGCGACTTTAACGCAAATTTAGTGCAAATTTAGTGCAAATTTAGCACATATTTAGCACATATTTAGTGTGTTTTATCTCCAATTTAGCGCCACATTTAGTTCACTTTAGGTGCGGGCAGCTGCAGTACATTTAGTGTGGGTCCTGCATCTTTAGTGCGGGCACGCACCTTTAGCACGGCTTCCCGGCCACACCACAGCTAGCCAGGGCCGCGTGCTTTGCTCCTTGGCTGCCAAGAATGCACCACAGGAGATGCCTGGCCCCTGCCCTCATGACCCAAAGGCAGGCTCCCAGTGAGGCTAGATATGCCGCCCTCCAGAGCAAGATCTCCCGACTGAGCACAGCACTTGGAGCACTTGGAGTGCAGTCGGCAACCTCACATCCAGGGCCGGTGAGCTGAGAAGCGCATCCAGCGGGCCGGATGATCGGTATCGGGTTACGGGCTAGAGAGCCCTAGCCCCACAGGCACAGCACCGATTCCCGAGAGGAGGACCAGCACAGTTGAATGCGCCACCGCAAGCACCACCTCCGACCGCACAACCCATGCTGTGCCCGTGACCACCAGCTGTAATAGAGTAGAGGTGAGGGTCGGTGTTGGAATTTCAAAACCAATGTTGAACCAAAGGATGAAGGATCCAGACCACGATGACAGAAACGGCCAAATGGCCATGATCCATGTAGTCACCGCAAGCAGCTTTACATACGCGTGTACTCGTAGCATGTTGGATCCAGCCCCAGGCATGCACCTCCTCCTAAGTGCAATGGCAAATACACCGGGTTTTCTTCGTTCGGTTGGGGACGGGACGGGGAACTTTTGCGAGTGGGCAGGGGACTGCAGGGGGACAGGGGGAGGGAGGCCCAGCGAGGGGCTGCGGCTGGATCCTACTGCGCGGCTGGACTAAAGACGCACTAAACCTCGCTAAATCTGGATGTAAAGTCGCACTAAATTTGCGCTAAATTTGCGCTAAATTTGCACTAAAGTTGCGCTAAATTCGCGCTAAATTTGCGCTAAAGTGCGCTAAAGATGCAGTAGATAAACACTTCACACCGCACTAAATTTAGACCCAGGCGCCCTCCCTTGAGTAGCCTAGCCGCAATAGAGTAAGGGCGTGAGGCAGTGTTGTGTCCGCGATGGCGCTCGAATGAGGGCGTGGAAAGATGGGTGACCTGGGTACCGAATGCGCTCGTGGCTCGCCTCCGCGCCCGAGCGACAGGCGTGGGTCCTCAGACTGCACCCAGGGCCCGAGCCTCACGGCTGCAACCCTCGGACTCGGTCCGTCACGAGCTAGCCGGCCGCGGCACTTCGAATGGCCCCATGACGTGGCGGGAGGGCTAAATCTTTTGTGGAACCAGTCTATGCTGCTCGGGCCGCGCGTCTTCCTCGCCCGGCTCGGCGAGTTCCCCCACACCTCTGTGCAGAGCTTCGCAACCTTGCTTTCACGATTGCTTTCACGACCGTGAAATCACGTACGTATCGCAAGAACGTGGGCGGAAATGCCCCCAGCCCACATGCCCTTGCTCGGCATATTTGTCAAAGATGAGAGAGCGCGCAGGCTTGTGCGCTCGACGCCGAGCCGAGCAGCGGCCGCGGTCAAGAAGGCGTCAGACGCTTCTTCACCGATGCTGGAAGAAGTCGACCGAGAGAGATTTTAGAAAACCAACAAGAAATCACGACTCTCACAGTGATTTGGGCTCGGCAGCTTGTCAGCCCTCAGCCGAAGCTGGGGCCGGTCCCGTAGCCGAGAGAGCCCGCGCCGTGAGTTCGACGCGGTCGGGAGGCCTTGCGGAGAGGCCAGCGAGATGGCGATCGCTGTACTTCATGGTGTCATCAAGTGACTGGCTGACTCGCCAGAGGTCGATACTCTGGACGACCCATAGGATGCCACGAATGCCTGAAGGAGAGGGAGGCGAGGCCAGAGGCAGGCTCAGCTGCTCTCGGGTGATCCCGCTTTGGTGGCTGAAGGACCCGATGGTCCTGTCACATTCGCGTTCCGAGTCGTGGGGGTAGAAGAATTCGAGGTAGAATCGAGTCAGCACATCCTTGTAGTACAGCGGACCGCCAGGCTCGCCGGCAGCATCCGCAGGGAGGCAGCATATGAGGCACCAGTTTTCTGGAGAGCTCAACAGCTGCGGCCGCGATGGCGGAGTCGGCCGCGGTTCGAGCGAGCAGCTTTTGGCTGCGGGATCGAATCGCGGAAGGCTCATGCCGTGCCCTCGCGGAGCGACGCGGGTCGCGCGGCGCGCGCGTGTGCGAAATGCGACAAATAAAGACGAAAGACGACAGGCGCCTGAGCGCTGTACGCCTGAACTTTTGTCGCCGCAATCGCCACCCGCCGCCATCTTGACGAGCAGCGCGAGCGCGCTCGTCGGCGGCCAGCCGTCGCGGGCCGGGCCGAGCCCGGCCTCAACCGGCCGCGCCGCCGCAGCAGGCCCGGAGGCCCACATGGCGGCCCACCAGCTGATAAGGAGGTCTCTCTTCCGCCTGTCAGCCGTGGCACCATGGCGACCACTGACTGAGCACTGTTCACGCTGTCTGTTCACATAAACGCAAGAAAGACAACCCCGGGCCGAAATCGCACAACCCCGGGCCCGAAATCGCAGAGAGACAGTCACGCAACACGGGGTCCAGGGCTGTCTGTTCACAGAAAAACACAACCGGGACCCAAGACGCACAAGCACAGACAGTCGAGAAGGGAGAGAGTCTGTTCACGCAAACTTACCATTTTTTGGTCATCTGGGTTCTACCCCGCAGGTCCGCGTGCCTTTGTCCCACCCACACGCCTTTACTTGCCAATCGCGCTCTTGAGCGCCTTGACGAGCGCCTTGTCCCTTGACGAGAAGTTGTTCTCGACCCGTCGGTCTTGTCGCGAAGAAGTTGCTAGGAGCCAGTGATCTGGAAAATAAAATTAAAAAATCGCGAAGTTTAGTCCGCGCCGCGTTCTCGTGGCCTAGGCCCTAGCCCCCCCTTAGGAATGGAAAGGGGCCGCGCAGGAACACCCGATTGTGTTGGGGGTTGGGGCACACAGCGCACTGTGCTTTTCCAATCGCGAATCGGTGCCTCGCTCTGCAGGCACCGAAGAGGAAGACCGATGGTCCCCTGGGGAGGCTCACTTGAAGATCGGTGAACGGTGATAAAAAGTCGCGAACCAGTCGGGCAGTCGCGCCGCTTTGTGAACAACTTTCTCGCAACCCATTGAATACAGTAGCACGTATGAGTGCCCAAAAGTGCGACGCTCGGAGGTGGTGTCACCCCTTGCTACCGCTAACCTGACGCGTCCATCCGCGCCACGATGGACTTTGCGAGCTCTATGTTCGCCTCTGAGGCCACGCAAGACTCGGCCTCAGCGGCATCGCTGTCGGGCAGCCGCGTCGCGCGCGCCCCGCTGCTTGCGTGCTCCACCAGCGCCCCGCCCCAGCCGCCGCCTCCGCGCGCGAGCTGGCCGAAGCCGACCACGGCGAGGGTGAAGCCGACGCGCTCCTCGCGCGGGACCCACCTCTCGAGCTGCACGCGCACGCCCTCTGGCCCCGCACGCGCGGCGGCCCCGTCCACCCAGCCCAGCCGGGTCGCCACGCGAAACACGTGCGTGTCCACGACGATCCCCGCCTCCGCCTCCCCAAACGCCACGCTGCGCATGAGGTGTGCAATCTTGGGACCCACGCCGGGAAGCTGGACCAGCGCGTCGTACTCGCGCGGGACGCGCCCGCCGTGCCGCTGCGCGTGCTCGGCCGCCGCCCGGACGTACCTCGCCTTGGAGGCGCAAAAGTTGCAGCTGTGCACCAGCCGCAGCAGCTCCTCCTCGCCGAGAGCCGCAACGCCCGCGGCGCCCTCGCCGGTGCACAGCCTGAGCATGGCGCGCGTCGCCGCCAGCGCAACGCGGTCGCGGCACTGCACCGAAAGCAGACTGGCGACGAGCGCCCAGAACATGCCGTGCCGCGGGTCGCCGACGCCGGGCTCCTCGCCCGTGCCGAGCGAGAGAAGAAAGCGATGAAAGTCGTCGACGCTTGCGCGCTTGCCCTGGCGAAAGCTGGCGATTAGACGGTACTCCCGCAACTTCTCCGCCGCGGACAGCGGCGCGGGACTCGCAGATGGCGCCGGCTTGGCCGGACTCGCCTTTGCCGCAGCGCTGCTGCCGGACGGCGCCGACGCCTTGGGGCTCGACGTGACGCGCGGCCGCTTCGGAGCAGCAGGCTGGGTATTAGCGTCGAACGCGAAGGAAGCGAACGGGTTGTCGTCAATCATGTATATGGTGCGCAAGTGGGCACACTCACTCACCAGCAGGCGTTCTGCGGCCAGCTGATCGCCGCCTGTCGCGGAATAGAGCGCAATTTCTTCTTTCGCAGACGCTTTGAAATCTGTATTATACACACTGGCTCCGAACCCTGCACATCGACCCTTCCGCCCTCGAGGCTGGCCGCGCTTTAAGGTCATTCACGGGTGTCCGCGGCCCACTGTGCCCGCTGGTAGGACAGTGATCAGGTAGGTAGGTAGTAAGGTGAAGAACAGCCAGGCTCGGACTGTGATCGCCGCAAACCCCGTGCGCCGTGCCCGTGGTCCTCAGCTCGATATTTGACGGAATATTTTTTGTAGGCACCGGAACGCCAAAAAACTTCAGAAGGGAAAAGTAATCAACCCGCGGCAGCTATGAATTAAAATGGGCGGTTTTCGAGGGGAATCTGGAGAATCTGGGAAGAATCTGCTTGCTCACCACGCCCCCCCATCGAGAAACTTTTCACGCCAAGACAATAGACATACTAGTTTTTAAAGGTGCTCTACAAGTTAGGCACAAAAGATACGGATTGCGGGCCATTTAGGATTTCTAGACGATCACTGAGCTCTGAGATCGGCCAAAATCCCCAGAGCAGGCGCACATCGCTTCCAGGGAGGGGGGCGCGCTTCTCTGCACACCACATGCTAGGGGGGGAGGGGGGGGGGTCCGACCCCCGCCAGAGGCTTCACCACATGCTAGGGGGGGGGGGGGGGGGCTGGAGAAGCGATGTGCGCCTGCTCCCACTGAGGCGGGAGCAACCTTCTACCCTTAGTAAGAGATAACAAACCAGCAACTTTAGCCGCTGACGTCGTCGTCAAATGATTCGGCATATTTGTCAAAGATGAGAGCGCGCAGGCTTGTGCGCTCGACGCGAAGGCGTCCAGACGCTTCTTCACCGATGCTGTCAGCCGTGGCACCTTGGCGACCACTGTTCACGCTGTCTGTTCACATAAATAAACGCACAACCCCGGGCCCGAAATCGCAGACAGAGAGACAGTCACGCAACACGGGGTCCAGGGCTGTCTGTTCACAGAAAAACACAACCGGGACCCAAGACGCAACAAACAAGCACAGACAGTCGAGAAGGGAGAGAGTCTGTTCACGCAAACTTACCATTTTTGGTCATCTGGGTTCTATCTACCCCGCAGGTCCGCGTGCCTTTGTCCCACCCACACGCCTTTACTTGCCAATCGCAATCGCGCTCTTGAGCGCCTTGACGAGCGCTTCCTTGACGAGAAGTTGTTCTCGACCCGTCGGTCTTGTCGCGAAGAAGTTGCTAGGAGCCAGTCATCTGGCTACCCAACGCGGCCAAAGGATATCCACCTCGAGAATTTTACAACAAAACTCCCTCGCACAACACCTCGAGAACCTGATCGAGAGTCATCAGGAAGAAAAAGAAATCGCAAAGTTTAGTCCGCGTTCCTCTTGGTGGCTTAGCAGCCGCTCGCTCCATGCTCGCAGGCCGGAGCAGCCGCACGCTTCGGACCCTGCGTCGCTCGTCGTCGACGCTTCCGCCCTCGTGGCTGGCTTCCGCGCAGAAAGAGCTCAAGGGCAAGGACCCGGCCATCCTCACGCGCGACACCGCCGAGGGCATTCCGCTGCAGCCGCTCTACACCTCCGCCGACCTGCCGCCGGCGGAGAGCCTCGCGCAGCAGGCGGTGCCGGGCGAGTTCCCGTACACGCGTGGCCCGTACGCCACCATGTACACCCACCGCCCGTGGACGCTCCGCCAGTACGCCGGCTTCTCGACCGCCGCAGAGTCGAATGCCTTCTACAAGGCAGCCGCCGCCGCCGCCCGTGGCTCGCCGCCGACCCCTCCGCCGCTCTCGCCGCCGCCACGCCGGGCTGGCCGGCGCCTCCTCCTGCCTCGCCGCGACCCGCCCTTTGCCTCCCTCCGGCCAAACGCACTTGCCCACTCTCCACTCACCACGGAGCGCCGCGCTTGGCTCAGGCGAATCTCGCCGCCGGCCAAAAGGGGCTGTCGGTGGCGTTCGACCTGGCGACGCACCGCGGGTACGACTCGGACAACGAGCGGGTCCTCGGCGACGTCGGCATGGCGGGGGTCGCCATCGACTCCGTCCTCGACATGCACGAGCTGTTTGCAGACATCCCGCTCGACCAGGCGCAGGGAGGAGGGGAGGAGGAGGGAGGAGGAGAGGGAGGAGTAGGATGGAGGGAGGAGGAGGGGAGGAGAGGGAGGAGGCGAGGGAGGAGAGGGAGGAGGAGAGGGAGGACGGGAGGAGGAGGGAGGAGGAGAGGGAGGAGGCAGGAGGAGGGAGGAGGAGGGGAGGAGGGGAGCAGGGGAGGAGGCCTCCAGGGGAGGGAGGAGAGGGAGGAGGAGAGGCAGGAGGGGAGGAGAGGGAGGAGGAGAGGGCAGGAGGGGAGGAGAGGGAGGAGGAGAGCCAGGAGGGGAGGAGGAGGGACGAGGAGAGGGAGGAGGAGGCAGGAGGAGCGGAGGGGAGGGAGGTGAGTAGGGGAGGAGGAGAGGGAGGAGAGCAGGCAGGGGAGGAGGGGAGGGGAGGAGAG